CAAACACATAACAATAAACAATTGATCTCTAGTTGTTAGGTGATACTCACTCTATCTAGATGTCTAAAAATTTATGGACAAACTTTTAAATATTGGTCAAACTAGTTAACTGGTCGAGTTAATATAAAAATCGCCAGTTAACTAGGTCAACTCGATTTTCGACTGAGTCAATTGCATCTCTATGAAAATGTTCTACCTGGCCCAGTTGGGGGCTCGAGTCACCAATTTTCCGGCCAGTCCGATCAAGTTTTTATAACTATGTTCTAAACAATAATGTTTTATGTGTAATCAATTAAATGTGTAAACATGAGACCGACTTTATTATTCTTATAATTTAGTGTCATTTCACATGGAGATGATCATCCCCAGTTATACATATAGCATTACTATGTACTAAGTGCTTGGTTGGTAGGGATTTTGATAATTGATTTTGACCGTTAGAGATAAAATGGGTCTTACTTGTGAGAGAATAATTTAAAAATAGAGATAAAATGGGTCCTACTTGTGAGAGAATAATTAAAAAATGATTATTGAAATAGTGAAATAACGGTCAAAAAATTGATTTTAATTGACTTAAAATCTGTATCAAACAAGCACTAAATCTATCAAATGGAATACTTTAAGACTGGCTCAATCAAATATCATCCTTTCTTTTATTGAAGAAGAAGAAGAAAATAAATCATCGACAACACATCAAAATACGTTTCAATATTTTCCCTTCTATCTTAAGAAAAAAAATTTGGGAGTTTGACCCCCACATCATCACACCATATTCACAGGCTCTGCTTCACTATCTCTTTCTTCCACAAGTGGAGCTAACTCCCCTGCACCCTTCCCTTCATTCATGAACACATCATCTCTTTTGCTCAACATTGCATGAAGTATAACAATAGGCATAGTCGCAGAAAGAGTCACGAATAGATTAATGAAAGCACAAGTAAAGATCAATTCAATTGATGTGATCATAAACAGCAAAAACAGCACAATTCGCTTGTCAATGATCTTATGAAGCACAAAGGTCACTTCTGTCATTGGCTACTAGAAGGATCAATGAAACCTTGCGCCGTGGGATAAGGGTTATGAAGAGAACAGTCCATACAAATATTGCATAGTATAAACTGAATTTCTCAAAGTTCTTGATGATTCTAACTGCTGCTGATTCTGGGTAGAAGGGATATCAAAAGGGCATGTGAATTTGAAGCTCTTAAGATATTTTTGAGTCGATTCCTCATATTCATCATCCTGGGAGATGCAGGGAGATGGAGAAGTAGCTGGCCTGTGTGTGGTGGTGCCATAACTAACCATTCCCGAGCTGAAAGGTGTGGTGTTTTAAGCAAATTAGAGCGAATACTTCAAAGGGTGTTATAGTCTATGAGAACATTACAACATGAATCCATGTATATAATGTTGCCAGTGGCAATAAGTCATAGTCAACATTGGATTTTTCCCACCTTTCTTTCCAGGAAGGGAGCTATTTAACAGTCAAGTATAGGAAATTAAAAGATGACTAAAAAGGAAGAAAAGCATTATGTCTACATCAATCTGCCTAACAAAGAACAATAATGGTCAAAGTAATCTCTTAATCACACAGAAAAAACATGGAATTTAGTTTCCCACATTAGTAAATTTTTTACTGCAACATATTTGTAAGAAACAATAATCTACCAGTAAAGATGTTCTTTCATTTAGTTCATCAAGTTTTAAACCATATATTTTTCATTTGTACTCAAAAGGAAGGCTTGCCTCGAACATGAAATTGTTATTTGAGTGATGAGACAGGAGAGGAAATCTGTTTTTATGGCCTATTGCAAATATTAAGCAGTATTTCATTGTCTTAATACCAAGCGATAAAGCTCTTCTTAGTTTCATGGTAAAATTCTTCTTAATACTGTGACTTTCTGTCTGTCTACAGCTCGATGTTGATCAGCTTCATTAGTTGAATGTCACATTGATTCTGCTGTTAGTTTTATAATTTTGTTAACAAGAATGGAATCATTGATGGAGGGATCAATTATAATTGCATATGTAACTATGTTGGCTGACTTGATTGATATAAAATCAATTGTTTGTTCTTATTTATGCAATGGAAACTACAGAGTAAACTTCTCTTCCTATGCTTGTGATGGCTGTTTCCGATGCCTGCCATGCTCTGAACAAGTGAATTACCAAAGGTTATCATAATCTTCCCAACAATCACACTCTAATTTACAGTGATCATCCAATAACTAAGCACAAAGCAATTTTAGAGAGACGAAAAAATGAGCACAACTTTTCTTGTAGAGAAAACAGAGGGTTCGATCTATTAAAATATCACATCAATGGAGAATTATTTTTTGGCCGATTTTAATCCTTCTATAATTCAATTATTTCAATAATACCTTACTTCGATATGAAATAAATACTACAACATTATTGCCATTTATGAAATTTGTGCTATTAATTTTCATTTAATTAACATTCACATTAATCTAGATTCAATGAATTTTCACTTCATGAATCTTGAATTACATAAATTTAGAGTTATTATGAATAAATTTATTAATATTCATGTATCTAGATATTTTAATGGGTGCTTAAATTTATTTATTAACAATTAATTTTTATGTATTAAATGTAATATAAAAAGATTGCTCATTTAGCCCCTGTTTGGCCCCCATTTTGGGGAATGAAAATAGGTGGAATTATTTATTTATTTATTTTTTTAAAATGAGTGGTTGAAAAAGAAGGAAAAAATTTCGATGTATGTGTAATATTATTTTATGAAAAAATTTGGGGTTATTATAGATGAATTTATTCATATTCATATATCTAAAAAATTTAGTGGATTTTTTTAATTTACGTATTAACAATTAATTATTATGTTTCAAATATAATATAAAAAGATTATTCATTTATAGTATTTTATCATTACAAAAAATTTGAATAATAGAAATTGAGTTTTAAGAGTAAAATTTGAGTACAATTTTCTATTCTTAAATTTTTATGCTAAATTTTATTTTCTTTAATTTGTTTGAGACTCATTAAATCCTCACAACAAATTGGTAATTTTAGAATAACATGCAATACACATTCAACTTTGACTAGTTTTTCAAAAAATCATTATTCCAAAAACTCATTTTGTAAAAATAAAAATAAGTAAATAAATAAACTCATTTTAATTATTGTCAAACGGGGACTAAGTTAGTACCTATTCAAAATATTAGTTGGAACTTAACTAACCTCAATTGACTTAGAGGCCATCTGGTATAGCTTTTGAGATCCAAAATCTACTTTTGGACACGTTTAACTAATTTTATAAAAGTGTTTCGCCTATCTAGAAGAGTTTTTAAAAGATGTTGGATCAAAGTGACTTCCTCTGGAATAGGAAAATCTATTTTAAAAATTAATTTCTAAACAAAAATTAACCAATCAAGAAGCTCAAAAAAAATTTCAAAAAAAAAAAAAAAAAGAGGCATGCCAAACAGGCCTAAAGGAACTCTTAAATTTGCTTTAGAGAAATATTTTAGTCCCCACATTTTATAGATTAAACTATGAGGAGATCTTATTCTAGTTAACCAATCATTTTGCTACTACGTCTCTTATAAAATATAGCTTAAATATTCACATGTTTTGATTCTTACATAATTGAAGTACGGATTGGCTATCAAAATAAACTGGCATTATCTTGCAAGTATTCTAAATCTTGCAACATCCCCTTCAACCTAAGATGTTGTTTAACAGCTTCAGTAGCTACTAGTTGGGACTTTCAGTAGTATATATTATGATTTGGCAGTGGACAAAGTACAATATGCTATAGTTGGGACTTTCAGCTCACACAACTATCTCACAACAATTTGATGCATATATATATATATGGAATTTTGATCATAGAAGGGCTCATGTTTGAAAAGTTAAAGGCACTATCTCACATGTACATCATCAACCATATCCTCTGAAGGAATGTGTCGCATTGATGGTACTCTTAACCAAATCTTCTACATAGATATTATCATCAACGTTGAGCTTCATCTAAATTTTACAAATCAGTCATCCAATTTTATGCATGTTGGAACAAGAATTAATGTCGCCACCCTATTTCCCACTTCCATTCGCCTACCACATTTTCTTTAATTTCTCCATCATATAGCAACACGGTTACATTCATAATGTAGCTTGGAAATGGGTCACACATGAAACACGACAAAAGATTTAAAATTTGTCGAGCAAATAATCAAGTGTCATGTTATCACATGATTCTGGTGCTCACATTATGGTATAACAATCGCCAAGATCAAAACATCATTGTTTAGATCATCTACACTTTATAGTCTCCCTTCAAATGATATTCACTATAATGATCTTTTGACATTATTGAAGGCACATTATTCATTCATGCGCAAAATAACAAAAGCACGATTCAACATATCGTGAAATAGCCTTTGGTTCTTTATTCAAATTCTCAGTTTCTCTTGACCATGTACTTGCATATGATCACGTACATTGTTACTTGTTGATTGTTCGCTATATAATTTTGCATTATAGGCGTAGCGTGTATTGTATCAGCTCCTAAATAATGAGACAACTATTTACTGAATATTTAACTGTGATTCAATAGAACCATTGCTAGGGAGGAAGCCCGAATATTTAATAGTTTAATCTAAAGTATTTTAGCTTTTTGAAAATAGTTGCCTATACTGTATAATTTTACTTTCACTCTCTATTTTACATTAACATTTTATATAACTCTAAACTCTCATTATATTTTATATCAAAAGTTAAATACCAACCTTCTTCAGACCTTCATAATAGATGACTCGTGAGTCGAACAATAATGTGATCATTTCTAAAAGAGAATAATTTAAATCTTTTTCATGTGATTTTGAACATTTTTCGTTAAGTGATCATCTGGCAATTTACTAGCCGTCTCCAAAGAACCGAATTTTCATTTTCTTTATTGGCGGCGGCGCGGCGGCAGCGTTCGAAGGTACGGTCAACTATCTGGTTCTTTAAAATTGACGAGATTTTTTTCAACTTTTTTCGTTATGTATGGTTGTTATGCAATTTGATGGGGAGATGTTGTAATCATTAACTTGTGAGGTTTTTATGCCATTGAATAGAATCGTGGCCACCGGGGGCTTCGTGTGTGGAAGTATTGGCTGCACTTCAATAAATCACTAATAGTTTTATAGTAGATGGCAATGTTTGATGGCTTATGCAATCAAATTGTTGCACCTCGTTTTCTGATTTCTTGGGATCCCCAACTGTTTGATAAAATGTCCATTACAAAATGCTTCACTTAAATTGCGAATATTTATCCTTAGTCCTTTCCGTGTTTTCTACTGCATCCGTATTTGTACTTAGTCCTTTCCGTGTTTTCTACTGCACACGTATTCCATAATTATCTCTATGTAGTTTCAAAATTGATTAAAACTAAAAATATTTGATGGGATAGGCATCCAAAAGCTGAAAAATGTTGGTGAATCATGTGAGAATGGAAGTGTTAATTCTGGGTAAATCAGCCATTTGTCGGACGATTTGAACCTGTTATGCAGTTGATGGAAGTGTATAGTTGAAATTTTGGAGTCACGTCTGGGTTAATGTGCTTTGTCTTTGACTATATTTGTTCAGACTGACTGAATCTTCAAGCTTTTGAGAATAAATTTGTCAAGAAACTCAGCACTTCATCAATTTACTCTTGATTTTTCTTGGTTGCATCAACATACAAGATTCCAGCTTCTTTTCTATACTATATCCGGCATCCCAAGAGTTTTGTGGTGGATTCACATTGCAGGATAGCACAATGCTCAGCAATCTTGTTGTTTGCCTTTTGACATGTAGAGATATCTCGACCCAATGCATGTTTAGTATCAAGCTGATTAACTAAAAATATTTGGGTGTATCGTTTTTAAAAAAATTAGATTTGTGTAGATTCAAATTGGGAAAATTAAATGTCCATGTGATTTCTCTGACTTGTCCTAAAATACTGAACTGTAGGTAACATCTCTGGTCTTCAGATTAATATTTTTGGGATATTCAGACAAGGAGTCTTGTTCATATACTTTGTTACATTCCGATGATGTAGCAGGAAATCCTTTCTGAGACACCTTGCTCTTTAGGAAATGTGTGCATACGTCTAATCTTTGGCCAATGGAAACTCTTGAGTACAGTACTTGGTCAGCTTATGTATGAGGTCCCCCGGTTTAATTTTCATGTCTGTTTTTAATCTTGTTATGAAATAATTATCTTTTCAGTGTTTTCAATGGGACAAGCACAGAGTGCTGCTACTGTAGAAGATCAAAGCAATCCAAAAACACAGTCAGCGTCTGCTGGAACTGACAATGCAGCTCAGCCGTCACTTGATTCATTGATTGCTGAAGCTGCAGCATATGGTGCCGAGGATGAGAATCAATCTCTCGAAGTGAAGGCTCAGAAAGCACTGGAATGCCCTTGCATTGCTCACCTGCGAAGTGGCCCATGCGGAACCCAGTTCTCTGATGCCTTTGTCTGTTTTCTCAAGAGCACAGCTGAAGAAAAGGGAGCAGACTGTGTGCATCCATTTGTGTCTCTACAGAATTGTATCAAAGCAAATCCTGATGCATTTTCGAAGGACATTTTAGAAGATGATGAAGTTGAGAAAGATGAAAAGCCAAGCAAGGAGTACTCAATTAGGCCTCCTATTTGGTCTGCCGAATCAAAAAATCCAAACCGCTAGCTTTTGGGGAGGTCAAATTATCTTTCTTTGATCCAAGGTTCCTTCATCTTTATTTCCTTACTGAAAAATTAATCTGTTATTGTAAGCACCCTTTTCCCTGGAAAGCTTCATCTTTATTTCAAATAGAAATAGCTTTTCAGTCCGAAGACAGATTCTGGCTGCTTTTAGTTTTTCATTTCACGCGTTGAAATAATTTTTACTGTTCAATTGGGGATGTGTTTTTAATGTATGGATTCCATATTTCTTTAGCCTTTTTTTTTTTTTTTTTTTTTTTTTTTTTGGGTTAAAAATGAATTTTGTAATAGTAAAATTTTGGAGATTGTGTGATTAAAAAATAAAAATAAAAAAATTTGGGTTTATGTGCAAAATATTTTATTGTGATAATGTGTAATTGAAAATGAGTTTGAAAAAAATAAAATAAAATGAGTTTTTCGTCAAGTTCTTTATGAATATAAGATGTCTTTGCTTCATTTGAAGGCTCGGGGTCTTTGAATTTTGTTATATTGCTTGAAGATTTTGTTGCTCAACTTCAGTTCCTAAGCTTGATGGTAAGCTATATGTTCTTTTTGGTGAGCATTTAAATCTGTATTGCAATATAATCTACCAGACAAGTTGATAAGTTGGGATTTTTATTATTTTATTGGATTTTATTCTAAACCCGTTTCAATGTAGTTGGAAAAATTGACCAATTTAGTTCATACGTAAACACATTATTCCAAGACGGTCATATAATTATGATCGACAATAATTTTTTTATAAAATGCAAATGATTCCTCTGCTAACTAAGTTGAGATTAAGAATTATCTAAGACAATAATAATTTAATGCTTCATTTGTTATTCCAAAACTGATTATGCTCTTCTTTGGTGTAAAAGAAAAGTTGAGGGAGAATAATTTTCAAATAAGTTGTGTAAAACAAACGTGGCGGCATGAAGAAGCAAGAAACACATAATTTTAAATCTTTGAATTGTAGACCACGATTCAAGAATTTGTTACCTCTTATAGCTAAACTCGCTTCCGAAGGTACTAAAATGGCGAACAAGTAGGCAGCATGAGAACTCTACTGATAACATGGATGAGATTAGTATAGCTAAGAACCCCCTTCAACATGTAGAATCAAGCATGTTAAGGCAGATGCTGAATTGATAATCATCAAAACTACCTTCGATAAACCAAAACTGACTAAAGATTGCTTTAACAACAATTCTTGCTCTTTGTACCTAAATTGGGAAGGTTGGACTTATTTTAGGGCCCATTTCGTAGAACTTTTGAAAAGTCGAAAGACTAAGAAGTCGATTTTGAACACGTGTGGATAATTATCTTAAAGTGTTTTATTCTACTGAAAGAACTTATAGAAGCAATTGACCAAAATAACTTTCTGAAAAAGGCAGAAAGTTTTTCTGAAAAGAAGTAGAAACCATGCTAAACAGACTTTAATCAGTTTCAAAAGGACTTATCATAAATCTATTCTAAATTTAGCATAGTATATGACATTATAGATCCTAGACAAGAAGTAAATTTCATTTTTCTGTTGTCTTGTTTCTTAGTTTAAATCAATTTCTCAGCTGTATAGACTAATAAAAAAAGAAGAAAGAATGGCTGTCTTCCACATTCATTTCTCCTAAACTTCCACAATATTTTCCCAAAAAAATCTAACACATCCACTCACTCCATCATGCATTGATTTTTAAGGAGTTCAAGTGGATATTCCCCCATAAACCTTAAAACCATATCGAGTTCCCAATTAATCCAGAGAAAGGTCTTAACTTTCAGCTCCAAGATCTCATGCCAAGGGAAAAATTACTTCAACTTAGCCCCACGAAGCAACATAAAAAGAGAATCAGAGGATAAAAATACAAATCCAACACATTTCGCCAATACTTGGCCCCCATTTCTAAGACTCATTTTTTCTCAAATTCATTTTCAATTGCACATTTCATGGAACTCATAACTTTTCAACCACCAATTTTATCATTTTCTATCAAAATCTACTAAAAATCTAATTTTTAGCTAAACAAATTCATTTTAATTTACTTGTGCAAATGTATAAATAAATACTAAATACGTTATTCAAGCAAACTCAGTCATATATAATTTAACAGAACGTGGTACGAATTCTTTAAACATCTATGCTCTAGAATGAGGTGAAACACTCGTGATCGGAGGAATTTGAATCGTCACTGGGGGAATGGTTATGTCTACCTTCATACGTTGTTATTACCATCCGACGATCCTCTGAAAGCCTTTCGACCCGTTTCTTGACTCGACAATTGCTATGAGTACATCTGTAGTAACTCCTGCAAGATAACACGGAGAAATCTTCAGTTGTCAATGAAATAGTAAAGTTAAATCAAGAAAGAAAGGATACATGATGACTCTATAGAACCTCTATGGTACTAGGCTGCATAATTAGTACTTAGAAACTCGTAAACGGGCAGTAGTTGACACATTGAGATATTAGTTTTGAGATTTCACACTTCTTGTAACACTAAGATTTTCACAAAAGATGACATAGAAATACTAACACGTACAAGTTACAACCTTTGATCCACTATAAGACTACACAACAAACAAGCTCTTAGTTTCTTCTCTTTCATAATCTCGTTCCCTGCTGGACTAAGTCCACCTCAAGTTACATACAATAAAGTGAAATAATATGTCATAACTAGTTTTGAACGAGGGAAGGTCTTTAGGTTTATTGAATGAATTTGAAGGGCGTCAAAATGTAAAAGATTGTAGAGGATAACACAAAAATATATTTCATTAGATAATTGAGACAAAGACTTGGCACTTTTTGAACAACCTAATTTATTCGTTTTCGTTTATGGGGGAAAAAGTTCTCTTTTATTTCATTATTTTGATTTTTACTGAAGATTATCAAAAAATATTCATCCATTATTAGCCAGTTCTATATTGAGAGAGTCCAAGACTTCGAAACTTTTTTGATTTCCTACATTATGGATGGACTTCAACCTTCCTAGATATAGATCAATAATTAAATCAGTTTGTTTAATTTATGATGGAAAATATCATGCCTTTCAACCATTTTCGCACCATATAGTAGAGAAAAATAATCTGATCATGAAGTTTTATCAGCTCTAGTGAGAACTTCATGCTTGATTATAATTAGTACAGATTAATTCTATTAATTTCAATTTTCTTTTAAATTTTAGTGAATGTACACGTTAACAATGGGGGTGTCTGGGGGTGGGGGGGAGGATTGATCACCATCTATTACTTAATTTCTTAAGAAAATGACAATTACTTGATTATTGACAAGATTGAAAATCTCTGGTTGGCACACAAATTTATGATTATGATGTGATATTATACCTCATAAATCCCATTTTAGGTATTAAAAAAAAATTCTTTTATCCACTTCCTACGAGAAATTAGGAAGCTTCACATTCATATTTCAAGAGAGAAATTATAGAAGAGAGGGAGATAGAGAAGCCAACATAACTGAAACAGTATACTTTCAACATTCTTCACCACTTCTGATAGCACTAGCTAGGGTAATAATTATAGACCATGTTGCATATAACATTTTTTACATCATCAATTGCAAGAAATCTCCACTGCAATGAAATTCTGCATTATTTGAATTTTCATAAACCGGAAAAATAAAATTCAGAAAATTGGAGTTATATTTCTCTTATTCTCACTTGTGTAACGAGTTTGGTAAGCAATACTGAACATGACCACAACCCGACTACTATAAACACTAGCAATGTTGTTTAGGGGTGAGAAATTAATACCTTGGATGAAGGCTGTTCTTGACAACCTTCTGACCATATTTTCTCCATTTGTAACCATCATCAAGCACGTCTACGTCACTCCTTGTCTGGAAACAGAATCTGGGCTCTCTTAGCTTTCTCCTCACTTTGACCTTGCCATTATTATCTGAAGATGGGCTCTTCCACCTGCAATACTTGGATCAATTTACCTGTCTGCCTATGTATTCAGGCTTAAAACTCATATTAACCAACATTAACGGAAAAATTTTCAAACTTTCCAGTACAACATCACTTATATATGGACTTGATAATTGAATGAGTGCACAGAGATGTAGTGGGTCTACCAGTTGTCCTTTCAGACTTCACTAGTTCATTACACTACACGAGCACGAACATGATCGTGCACTAGATTTGTGTGTATGTCTATATTTCTAGAGAGAGATTTCTTTGAGGAATCTCTTCCATATATAGTAGATCTCTTTAGTTTCTCGCTAAAAGTTGAAGAGTCTGGCTTTTTAGGGTTACTGAACACACGCAAGCATTCCTGTTTGCAAATTGTCTCGGAACAAAAATACTACCAAATGAAAAGCTAGCCGCAAAACCAACTTCTGAATGGAAACATCATCAAAAGGAATTCTTGGTTCTGTATATTTGTGGGTGAAGAGAGATGTAAACTTGACACACCAGCTTGAAAGAAGAAGAAGAACAAGAAGAGATCTAGAGAAAGAGAGTTAAGATAAATTACCATGAATTGCCACTTTCGTTGGCGTTACCACTGCAGTTCTCATCATTAACAGCCTTGAGATCTAGTGTTCCTACCTACATCATCAAGTTACCCAAAAATCAATATGAATACCAAAACGAACCAACCCTTGACTTATAGAAAGCTGCTATAGTTTATAAATTAAGAAAGTATAATAAGAAGGAAGAATTCAAAAATAATATTATTATTGGACCAACCCAACTACCTGGTCGTTATTCCATGAGGGTCTAGTGTTCAGAAGTTCATTATTGTCTAATCCTATAAAAACTCTATTGCTGGTGGTGCTGGTTGTCTTAATGGGGTGGCCGCCGCCTCCGCCGCCGTCTAGAGGCTGAGATATTTGAGAAGATTGCGAGGGTACCAAAAAGCTCATCATCTGATTCTGATCTTCAAACTGTATAAACCCCATTTCATGATGTAGAGGATGAGGAGGAGGAGGAGCAGAAAAGGAAATTTGAAGCTGATCATAATTGGGTTGAAACCCTCTCTCCCCTTCCATTCTTCGAAATTTATCAAATAATTACCGATAGTGGATGAAGAAATTGCTGATGTTCTTTTTAGTGGAGCGATTTATTGCATGTTGGCTGTACAACGTGTGGGGCGTTGTCTCGTGGAATCAATGGGTGAAAACAGCGTATTCTTTTCGGTCAACTGCTAAACGCTGGATGGAGTATAATCCTGTGCTTGTTCAAGAATATATTTTCTTCTTATGTTTGTCTGGACTTGGGGAGTCTACATAGCCCAGTCATCTCTCTCTCTCTCTCTCATGTGTAACACAACATTATAGTAACCAAGCATTATTGAAGAGTTTCTTTGTGCCCATGTGTCAAGATAAATTAATTTAAAAGTTTAAACTATTAAAAAATAATATTTGATTGTTTAAAAATCTTTGAGATGTTCTTTGATAGTAGATTGAATCTATATGTTCTAGTTTTATGTGTAGATTATCGAAGAAATTGTCATGAATGTCAAAATATCTAATCTAAAACCTTGAGTTTCAAGGATGAAAAATATTTATTTAAATAAATCTAAAATATTCAATGGTGGAGAATTTGTTAAGAATCGGCTTTTGCTTTGTTAAAGAGAAAATCAACCATGAAAATAATTAACTAAGTATTTATTATTATTTTTTTCCAGAATTCTATATGTTTCAAAAATAGCATTTAGTGTTTCGTAGACAAAAATAATTCATTGACGTGCTCGTGTACAAATATTACAATGAAGATATTGATTGCAACAATGTTTCTTTTTGTATTATTATTATTATTATCATCATTGGTAGTATTGTGACGTCAAGCGGCATAGCGATTATCCTGGAAATTAGCTGTAACAGATATTTCATAGGAAGGAATATAAAGAAAAACGTACAAAGACGGAGAGAATTTTTCTGAAATTCAATTCAAATTTATTGAACTGCAGAATAACTAAAAATAACCCACAAGTTGAGTTATATAGTTGAGAAAATTCGAAATTATTGAAATTCTACCAAAAATAGAAAAATTTCAATAATCCTACCAAAATAAAATACGTAATAAAAGAAATACCCTGCCAAAAATCTAGCTCAAATCGAGTTCATGATCACCTCGAAACGGCAACCGAAATATTACCATAAATGGAAAAAAATAATAAAAATGGAAATTAGGGAGGGATAACAACTAGTTTTGGCCTCAAAATTGATGCCCACCTATGGTGACCACAACATGCGTGGTGAAAAACCTTTTCGAGTTGGGGTCAGAATTGTGATTCTGATAAACGTAGCCAAAATTATAACCAAATTACCAAAACGTGTTCAAAATTGCCTCAAGTAAGAAAAGATCACAATTACTTATCATATTTGCACCGATCTGCGAACTCATAATATTTTAGTGCTATCAACGTGCTATCTAACAACTAGACATCACTTAACTCGAAATCTCTTCCATCATATTGTAAAATTTATTTTAACGCGGTTTCTAACAATATTTTTTATTATCAAATATTTTTCTAAGACAATGTTTCACTATATATATTTGGAATAAAAAATAACATCTTTTGAATCTCAAAATTTATAAAAATGTTAGTATATTGCTCTTCTAAATTATATATAGTATTCTATATTTACTTTTTTTAGAATTTACCAAAAACTTAAAATTCTCTGAGGGTTTATTTTGATTGAAAACGTGGGATTTATATGAAAAAAGAATAAATTCTAGGTAATTGAATTGTCTGAAAATTATTTGCATGAAAATTATAGATTAAATGTGTTTGCTTGATTTTTTATTTCAATCTAAAAAATGTTATACTTGTCCTTTTTTTGGTAGGTAGATGGAAGAGGGAGTAGATGAGAGAGAAAAGAGAGTGAATTATCTAAAAAATAAAAACTTACTCCCCAAAAAAAAATATTTTCCTTATTTTTAAGAAAAATATGGTCACATGATCAAAAGTAGCAAAATATTTTTCATGGAAAAAATCAATCAAATAGCACAAAAGTAGAAATTTGAGTGGAAAAACAACATTTATTATGAAAAAATATTGGCAATCAAATACACTCTAAAATCAATTTGAAGGCCTAAAAATATCTGCGCAAGAAAAAGAAGAAAGGATGTAAAAGGAAAACAAACATTGATAACAAGGAATTTAAACAAAGTCAAGAAAATTATGTTTACAAATCAAGGTCATATATCTATACAAGTTGATGAATAGTTAAAAACAAGCTCGTACATAGAATGAAACAAGCCTAATCACCTGCTCATTGGAGAAGGAGATCAATTTCATAGAATGCAAATAAATGGAAAAGATGACACGTTTTCAAAATTAAGACATGTAAATCTCTCACAATGTGCACCATTGAACCAATGTCTCATTATGCTAATAATAACACATTACTTTTATCGATCATGCATTTCATAAGTTTTTATCAAAATTTATTAAAAATAATATTTTTATCTAAACCAAACAGTGGCTAAGACAATTGATTATACTTCCAAATATCAATTTTAAATACTCTATGTTTAGAATTTTGTTATAGTTTATAATTTAAATTGTTTAATCAATTAAGAACCTATATAACAAGGCTTTTAAAATGTAAAAATAAATAAAATTAGAGATTAAAACTTTTGGACCTATTTAAATAATTTTTTGAAAATGCTTCTTCCTTATTATAAGAATTTTGATTGAAAGGTGGCAAAAGGGTGACTTCCTCGATAAACACTTCTACAAATAATAATAATAATAATAATAATAATAATAATAATAATAATAATAATAATAATAATAATAATAATAATAGAAACATTTTCAGATGAGTTTCAAACATGGAATTAATTGTACTAAAACATATAAAGTAAATTTAATTGATATATAGCCAAAAAAAATAGTCTTACGAATATATGTAAGGGTCCATTTGATTGCAAAGATTGAATTTGGGTGGAAAGAAAACCAATTTCAGGTAACAGAATTATCTAGAAATTGTTTTACTAAAAATTGTCAATTAATAATGTTTTATTGATAAAATTTTTCATCTGAAAAATATTGAAATAAGTGTCTTTTGGCTTTATTTTTTATGAAAATTGTCAATTTAAGAAATACTCACTTCTACAATTGTCCTTAGAATTTGTTTCCATTGCCAAAAAAAAATCATCTATATTTTGGTGTGTGTTTAGCTTTGTTTTATATGAAAATTGTCAATTTAAAAGATGTCATCTTTTACAAATTTGTTCACATTGCCAAAAAAAAAAAAAAAAAAAAAAAAAACACCAAAAACAAAAAAAGGGTGGAAAACATAAAACCATTTACCCCATGGGAAGATAAATTCCCCAAAAACCTGGAAATTGTGAGCGTGTGAGGAAAATGTGGAAAACCAATTGCCTCTAAATTTTTGGCTATCAAACAAGTTAAAAGTGGGAAATGGAATTTATTTTTCATTTTCCATGAAAAATTTTGGGCTATCAAACATAGCCTAGTTGCTTCATATCAATTAAGAGGAAAATTGTGAGATAACTATTTTTGGATTTCCCATTCATAACCAATTATCCATTAATAAATAAAGTGACAAATCATTAAATATAGAAAAGAAAATGATGCTTATGTACCCCTTTTTCTGGAATAAAGCTACTCAAATAGGAGAAAAAGGATTGTGCACCTGTTTGTCTGCTCATTTTTCTTTTCCTTCTGTTTTTAAACTGGCCAATCAGTTTTTGAAACGTGTTCCTTATTTTTAAATTATATCCCCAACCTTGTTTGTATAGCAAAGAACCTATCAAAGTGTGGAAAAAAAAAAGGTTTAGGACTTTAGCGTTTTTCACTTAAATGGCTTTTTCGCATTGAAAGTTAATACTTTCTTTTCTCATTTAAAACGGCATGGAATAGGCCGGACAAAAGTATAAAGAATCTAGAATGATGGAAGATGATCCACAAATTTTAAAGAGAGGATAACAAAGATCGAAAAATTCATTTAAATAATATTTTCAGAGTGTTCTTGTAATGTTGGTTGATTTTTTTAATTTTTTTTTTAAAATTAATAACAAACTACGTGATTTGAACTTAAGAAATTTTGTGTTCAAACACACAACTAGTCTGTGTACATATCTAGGGTATATAAATTAGGTGTACAATACTAATAAGTACAGAAATCACATGATTTGATTTTAAGAAATTCTGTGTTCAAATCACAAATAGTCTGTGTACCATTATTTCTAGGGTATATAGATAGATACACACGAATGTGGGTGCGTGAATCAAGTTTCTGTATTTTAAAGCAAGACAAGAAAAACTCTAGTGATATGTGTAAACGTTCTTGGGAGCAATGAGTAGAATTGGGGTCCGCAAAAGTTTCCATCCATGTCAACATGTCGAAAGAAATGAAAATGACTTGAAATTGCCCTCTGAAATCCTACAAAATCTGACTCCAAAGATATGCATTTATCCATCCAGAATTAGAAATGTTAACAAGTCGAGTCGAATCGATCTTTTGCTCAGCCAAAAAAATTTAGACTCGACTCGAATATTCGGCTCGGCCTGATAGCTCTTTTTTTTTTATTTTTTTAACACAGACTACTTAGCTGCCTGTTGCCTTTTTGAAGGTAATAGTTATTGTCTTTTGAAGGCAGCGTGTTTCATTTCATTTTTTAAGATCGGCTTGTCACTGGCCAAAAGTTATTCTAGTTAACAAGCCACACAGACCCGGCTCAAGCTTAGGCAGACGTCCCAAAAAGGGGCTTGGTATGAGTCTCTAGCCAAACCGGCTTGAGCTTTTTTGAACCAAACCACGAACGGTCTGAACTAACAGACCAAATTGACATCCTATTCAGAACCACCATTTCCCTGCAAAAAGAATAAAGAACAAGAACAACAAATAATATTGAATAATATTATAGGTGTGTGTAGGTATATAAAATATAGTATTATATTATATATCTGCCTGCCACTCATTCTCAGCTGTTGCTTCATCCACAGTCTTTTGTATTTTTTCATTTTTCTTGGAAAAGACTCTCCCCCACAACCCTCGCTAATCCTACCCCACCACCGTCCCCCACAATTACAGCAACCATCAATCTCTCTCTCTCTCTCTCTCAGCCTTCATTTCGATTTACGACAGCACAACTATTTTTTTCAGATAAACAACTACAACTTTCCATCTCTTTTAATGAAGAGCACAAGCAACAATATAAATTATAAGGATTATTCTGTCCAAACAGGGGGCTTAATTGGCGCCCCCTATTGGTGGGGGCGTCGGGTTGCCACAGGGGGAGCCATTTCAGCACCTTG